CTCATCAAAACCAACCGCTTGGAATAATAAGTACAACGCGGTCTTGTCCTTCATCCGTGCTTCTTTCTGCTTCGTGATGTCATTTACTCTCATGTCTTTGATTTGCTCCGGTTCTGTGTAACCTTCTAAAACCACGTCCCATACATCTTGCTCTTCGAGCAAGGCTTGCATCTGAATGCTCCATCCAATTGTTTTTGTTTGACTTCACCAGACGTGGCAGCGGTACACCACCCAATGACATCTTCCCGGAACCCACCATTGATTTTTGGCTCTGATACCACTTTGTTTGTTGGAGCAAGGTCAAATTTGGATGGAAAGGGGGCAGAATTCTCTCAACACTCAAATCTGTCTTTTTGGAGAAAGAGATGTATTCTCCTCTAAAGTTAAATTGATTATCAAATCTTTACATAGGTGATCCTTATATAGGACTTCTTTTGGAACATCCTCCATGGCCATTCATGTAACAAATCTGAAATAATGAATCTACCTAATAAATCTACTAATCATTCATGATCGGTCTACCCAATGTCTAGGGTTCCAATCCTTGTGAGTGTGAAAGTCTGCAAAGTGAGAAGTAGTTCATATTATTCCATAAAATTGCTTCTTTCTATAGAGGTCTCATTCGGTCCAACAATGAGGAGTTGGTGCATTGCAGTAGGTTCGAGCCCTGAGGAAGCACTCTGCGAGGAAGGTCCAGGGGAACGAGGAAGGCGAAAAGAGGGGACTGCGCGCTTTTCCTTTTCTCCCTATCTTCTCGGTGGAAAGACGTACGTACTACTTGCTTACCCAAGCACTTGGGTCTTTATGGGTTCGGTAAGATGAGTACTTTAAAGTCAGGGCTTTTCGATGTCTCAAGGTCAATTGTGCTAGCATCTCAGAAATCTCATCTAGTTGATGGATAACTGTTATAAAGTTGCCAAATTGCCAAGGCTGGAGCCATTAGCTGATGGTTAAGGTTAAATACTGTGGACTTCTTCTTGTCCCCCTCCCCTCATAAAGAGGGTTCATGCTGCCTCGGGAACTGGCGTTCTAGGCCATTGAAGGGTAAAGTCTCCCAAGCACCTCGTATGGTAAGCTAGGATTGGAAAAAGTAGGTAATTCAGGCGTAGGCGCAACTCACCATTTCAGCGTACCGTCCCTTCTTCTCACTAAGCCATTTCGTACCCGCGTTTGAATGAAATTTGATTTCAAGCCTTGCCCGAGAATCTTTGCATGGGAGCACCTTGGTTTAAACTATACGCGAGTTCTAGAATAAAGAATTTGCCTGACTCTACATGCGAAAGCTTTTCCTTCTACTAGATTGAAAAATCATCCTTATTTCCTGGTCCACACCCGCACTCGCAGTCAAAGAACTGACTTAAACTTAGTGCTTGCGAGACCGAGGTTCAGGGGAAAACAGACCTACAGAAATCAGTCCAATGGAGGAGAAAGGGGGCGGGTCGCTTGTAAACCGCTGTTTCAATAGGCGACCACGGAACAATCTCGAAAGAAAAGAACCAGAATTCTTTCTACATCAGACTACTTTACCCTCGCCTGCCAGAACAAAGAAAAGACGAATTCCAATCTCCAAATCTAAGAAGATCCACACTCCTATTGAGAAAAATATCTCAACTGAAGAAATGATTTTCTTATTGAAAAAGAGGGTCGACCAGGCGTTGGCGGCTAAGGTCTCAGGACTCCTTATTTTATTGAAATTCAAAAAACAGCATTTCTTGATGAATCGAAGTTTTCTCAACTTCAAGCTGTCGAGTTCCGCCCCAAAAAAAATTCATTCAATAGGGCGAGAGAGAGAGCCTTCGCTTACCTGCTTAACTGTGCGGAAGGCATATCTTTGGCTTCCGTTGTGGATTCCTTCTTTGTTAAAAAAACCTACTTGCGACTCGACTCTTTCCTCAAGGAAAGACTTGGTCTTACCGGGCAAATTGAGTTGTCGATGCGGAATTCCCGGCTTAGCTTTCAATTTCACTTGGCAAAAGACAGACCAAGCCTTTCTCCCCTTTTTTGTATCGAATTTTTTTCTTCTTCAAGGGTCAAATAAGTTACTTTCTTTCGCCAGTCGATTCGGATGCTGAGTTTGTTTGAAAGCCTTTCGGCACTCAATGGACCGTTTGTTTAGTATTGCTTTATGAAAGCTCAAAGATCTCCTCCAAACATTTAAGTCCTCGAAGTTCTCACTCCTAAACCTGATTGAACAAGGTCAAAGAAAAAGATCAAGGTAAGACTCATTATTAATTCGAGCATATTCTTTCCTTCACCTATTTATTCTTTCACCTATTTTTGTAAACTTGGTCTCACTACTTCTCTCCTCTTCTCATCTCACAATTCCATTGCCTGAGCCTATTCATTGTTGGTCTCACAATTCCATTGCCTGATTAATTATTTTCTTTCCAACAGAAAGAGTCCGGGACTTCCTTGAGGAACCACATCTTTCTAACCCATTTCATTCGATTCGGCCCAGCTTCTTCTGATTTTCATATTGGGTTTCGGACCCTACCACTGACTTCACTTCCATTTTCGAAAAAGGCAGGGTCTGACAGCGAGGACTAAATAAGACCCCAACCAACCAACCAAAATCAAATTCGTGCAAGGCGACCCCCCCGTCTTCAATTCATTGTTTCATCATAAGACCGATCCTAATTAAATTGTGGCTGCTCAAAAGGTCATCCATTCATTCTTCTGCTTTGTGAATTTCAGAAATAGGCGTGAGGAAACTATGTTCCCTTTGTTGCAATCAGACCTTTCAGATTTTTCTTCTTTCGAACCCCATAGAATTTTGTTCTTTGTTCTTTATATTTATGAATCGTTCATTCTAATCAGTGCGATGGTCATTCTGGCTAGATCATTTTGTTCTAGGATTCTTCATCTCAATCTGTATTTGACTTTCTTGCTCTTTTGTATTTTTACTAAAGCGGAAGGAAATCGAAGAATTTCTCGGGAATCCTACCTCTTTCAGACAAGACTTGATTTTTGCTTTCTGAAGCAGACCGAGAATCAGATCCCCGTCGTTCGCCCATCAATAAATGGGGTATACCTTTTTCGGGGGGCAGCGGTCAACCATCCACATGCATTAAACTATGTGTCTCACTAAGACTTTCTAACTCGGCCATCTTGTACTCACAGGAAGAAACTTTTGAAAAAAGATGGTTTTCGTTTTCTCGTCCCGAAGACGAGGTTTTTCTTCCCTTAAAGAGTCTACAGCGCACCATAGATTGCGATTCTTCGTCTGATCTTCAGGGTAAGAGTGAGTCTTTGACAGATTTCGAGCAACCCCCAACCTTTGAACAGGATTTGCTACTGTTGGTAGATAAAGGGCTTTTCCTTTTGTGGACAGTGTGATTTGGGAGGTGACTTTCCAGTAGGGCGAGTGTCTAAAGCCCGGGTTATCTCTCATCAAAGAGAAGAATTCCTATTCTTCTCGTTCCGAAGAAACCTAAGCGATTCCTTCTCAACCTGGGCAATGCTACCTCGAGAAGTGCTCCTCTCGGTCTCACTACGACTCTCGATCAATTCCATTATAATCTTTTACAGATTTTCTCAAGGGAAAATTGAGAATAAATAGAAAAAGAAAGAAGAGAATGAAAGGAGAAGAAAGAACGAGAAAAAGAAAGAAGAGAACGAGCGAGACTGAGTGAAAGAAGGTGAAGGTGAAGGAGCAAAGCCACTCGAACCATAGCGAGAGGAGAGGAGTTCACTCTAATTCATCTTTCGAACATCCTTGAATTTGCTTACAGGAGAGTCAAAGAGCGAAATGAAAGAATAAATAGGTTTAGGGGCAGTAGTTCTCTCTCCTTCATCTTTAGTCTTTGTTTACAGTGAAAGAAAGGAAAAGAGAAAGAAGTCGAGGTAAAGCTGCTAATGAATGGATGGACGAGACTCTAAAGGTTCAGGAGCTGCAAGGAATTGGCTCTCCCTGATTTAAAACACTGTAAAGGAGATAATTCATCTTGAGTCTTGACTTGAAGGTGAAGGTAGAAGCCACGAGACCAAGTTCAATCAGGTTCCAGTTCACATGAGTGAAAGAAGGGAGAGGAGAAAGAGTTGGTAAAGAATAAATAGGTGAAGGAGCTTTAGTGAAGGGTTTCGGTTTCGTCTTTGTTTACTGTTCAATCCGATAATTGAGTATAAGGGGATAGAGGCTCCGGTTTCAGTTCAGTAGCTAATCTCATTGACTCTCCTGTAAAGGTGATTGAGCTTCTCTTTCTTTCATTCTATAAAGGTTCCGGGGAAGGAGGATCAGGAGTCTTGACTCCCTTCTTTCAAACAAAGACTATAACCTTGGTTCATGTTCCAGAGCTCTCGTGTCAAACACTTCCTCCTTTTCTGACTGATAAGGGTTACTCGAAGAGGGAAAGGAAGAAGACGAAGACAGAGTGAAAGAGGGTGAAGGAAATGGAATTTGTGAAACTTCAAGTAAAAGAGGTAAAGGGTCAGTAGTTCTGTCTCATTCATCTTTCTTACTGTCGAGGAAAAGAGTGAAAAAGAAGGATTGAATATGCTTTCCCTTACTGTTCAAGAATAGTGAAACCCGAGCTCAGTAGTTCTGTCTCATTCTTCTTTCTTCTTTTCTTTCGGTTCCAGATTGAATGAATAAGGTAAATAGGGTCAGGTCATAGAGTATAAGGTTCCGGTGAAGATAATCTCGGTGCAGTAGCTAATTCATTGAAATGCCAGGAGAGTAAATTCATGAAATCAAGTCGGGGGATGAATTAGACTAATTTCACTCTTGAACAAGCAAGGTAAGTCAAGCGGCTGGATGAGAATCAGGGAAAGCTCATTCACTTGATGGAACCGTATGGATTCTTTCCTCCTTCACTCCAAGATTGAACAAGGTAAAGTAAAGTTGTTAATGAATTGACTCTCTCTCCCTGATTTCACTCTTGAACAAGGCTGGGATTACCTCATTCCCTTCAGTTATGGTTCTTTATTCTTTCACGAACTGTATTCCCTCAAGATTCATTCGACTCAACTTTCACCTTAAACCTTTTCTTTCCTGAACCTCTTCTTCTTTCTTCTGCTTGAAAGACTCAACCGAAACAAACCCTTTTCCTTCTTTTACTCGGTAAGTAAACAGGACGGACGATTCTTCCTTCTTTCACTATCTCTTTAACTGTAAGTGTTGAAAGGAAAGACAACTCAACAAGATCAATACTCCTTATGAATGAGAGTGAATCTCCTAAACTATGAGCTTCTATACGGAACCAGAATCTTATACTTTATTACCTTCTCAGAACCTTTAACTGATTGAACTAGGTAAACTCCTTCACTTTCAGAACCTTTACAGGAAAGAAAAGAAAAGGCCATAAAATCAAGTAGATCGATCCTAACTCACAATTGAACTAGCGCAGGAATGTCACTGGCTAAAAAAAAGGGATGCCTAATAGTCAGCCCTCATCCTGAGGAGACAAGGTGTTTAACGAGAAATACGCAGAATCCGGTAGTGGATCGTCTGCTATCTGGGCAACCAGCCCAATTGGCATCGGAGAATGCAAAGAATGTGGTTCACAGTCTAGGACTGAAAGTTAGACTAAGAGAACCCCTCAGATGCAGTCCGATGCGCTTGGTCTCTAGTCTGATCTTTCTTCACTTGACAGGATGGTGGTAAGCTGAGATTCAAGTAGCCACTCAAGAAAGTGATTAGTCTTTACAGGAGATAGGGATATTGAATTTCAGATAGTGAACTCTAAACTAAGCTCCTAAGAGCCATCTCCATGCCTATCAGTGCTCTTTTTGCCCAAGGGGCTGATCATTTCTTGTTAGCTCGGCAAGGTCAACGCTAGTAGCCCGCTCTGGTTTCTTAAATTGATGTGTGGCTTACACATACTGAAATTCATGCAGGTGTGGACAAAGTTGACAGAAATCGGACCACCTACAACTTGTTAGGCTTTCCTTGTTATGTTCATAAATAGAGTGAGTTGGCTGGCACTCATAGTCTAACGTGTTTGGAGTAATCTCTTGGTTTTAAGGCTCCATGGGTGCCGTGCAACAATAAGAATAAAAAAGTCTTTCCAAGTAGAGTAGGATGACACATTAGGTTTTGAGAATAGGTCCTAACTAATGAAATGGAAGCCCTTTTCACTATGTCAAACTTTCCACATGGCTGTTGACCTTCACAGATCGTCATGATTCGCTAACACCCACCTGATTTTTTCCACCCTTTACAGATGCCTTATGTTGAATGTGCCTAAAAGTCCCAGCGGGGGTGTAAGACCAATCATCCTTATCCTATAGTTCCAACATCAACGCTAGAAGCATGCTTTCTCTTTCTGATATTAATGTGACTGCTTATGAAGACTAGGAAAGGACTCGTGGGAATAGACCCATTTATTAGGGCTTTTCTTTTTCTATGAAACCATAGCTCTAAGTGAGCTTTAAAAGCTGACCTAACCTTACCGGTAAAGGAGAGGAAAGGCGTAGGCAGGTGAGATGGATCGAAAGAAAAGCGTTTTAGATAAGTTTACAGGGAGGGATAAGGGGACCAAGGAAGAGAGCACTCCCTACTTGATACTTCTCTTTATCTTTATCAAGTATACAACGAACGTAGGAGTTAAGAGCTGGAGTTAGAGTTAGTCAAAGGATTACCATACTCTCGAACGATGGTAGAACAATAGCTAGTTTAATAAGATAGAGATGGGAAAGCCAACGGTACTACCGTAAAGGAGGATGGATTCATCACTTTGGGCCAAATCGAAAACTTAGAATGAATCGACCACTAGACATTATGCTTACGTAATTCACTCTTTTGTTTGCAGATGTAGGACTTGCTTGATAGACTAAGGAAAATGGCCACTACTACGACTTCCCCCACTACCACTAACTGATAGACCGACTAGGCGGAAAGAATCGAAATCTTCCAAGGCGAGTAGGTCGGCTAAACAAAAAGAAAAGGGCCCCATTTTCCTCGGAGGAATAGGGTTACAAACCTATTGACACAATCAAATTTTTCCTATCAATTCAATTCCAATCGTATCTTTGATATATTTGATCATATAGAATATATAAATAGTCGAAGCTTTCGTAGAGAAACCGCAGGTTCTGCTGGGGTAGCTGTTCCTCGGTATTGGTAATCAGTCTCGCTATTAACGTTCGAGCTCGCTGGGGAGTGCCTTGTAGGGAAAAAGATGTTATCTAGGTAGATAGAGAAGAAAGAATGTTGGAAAGCGAAAGCGAGATAGGTCCTTAACTGGGAGGCAGGAAGAAGACTACACGAGTGGTTCGGGAAGGAAGATTTTGAACTTTCTGGTGCCATAGCTTCGACTCCACCCCTCTAATAGTAGTGAGTCGTACCGACTAGCTCCTAGCAAGTGATTCAAGATCACAGTAATGCTTGCCAACTTTGTTGCCTTGGGTACGAATGTGATAGCTTTCTCTAGACACCATGGAAAAGATCACTGACGAGCTCAATCTTTAAGTGTGAAATTGTCAGTTTCCTCCCCTCTTTTTTAAGTTGAGAGATCATATGCGTCAACAATTCTCATTTCTTAGTTACAATAAAGAATCCCTTCTCAAGGAAGTGATCCTTGAGCCACTCATCTTAGCCAGCGGATTCCTATTCTGCTGTGCCGGTGCGCAAAGCAAGCACGCTTAGACTGCGATGTGCAATCTTTGGTCTGCCTATGCTAGATAGTATGACCTATTGTATTATTGTATTGGTATGGGTATGGCTGAAGAAGGATCCATTCTTAGTATTAGTAGTAGACCCAAGGCACGGTAACTATTCGAAATTCTCTATAAATCTCTTAGGAATGCTTCTCCTTCCCATAGTCACTAAAAGACAGTTTCTTAATTCGGAATTAAGGTAGCTTATCAGAGTTAGCTCTTGAGCGGCCTCTGCTAGGCCGGGGCCTAAGCAACCTCTATTCTGTTCTGCATTTCGTTATATTCCTTATCTTCAGCCGCTTTGCCTCTTTCATACTATTCAGAATTCCCAATCGGGTTCTTTCACTCTTATTATTCGAGAGGTTGCAATTCCTCTTTCAATTTAAGGGAGTGAATGTAGTAAATGCATAATCTACGGTGGATATGGTTTCAATATTCAAAAAAGGGCGTCTTAGGAATCGGCCTTTTTCTTTCTAAGCTATCACAGTTCAAGGTATGGCTCACGTACAACCTAAAGGCTTCTTAACCGGAAAAGAAAGTGCGGTTCTTTAGGCCAATCTTAGAAAAAGAACAAGGAGGATATGTAGCACTGTTGGATAGACCATGGCTCCAACCAGGGTGGTTCATGACTGGGCTAAAAAGAAAGTCCCAAGCGGGGAAAGGCGGGATAATGGAAGGCGTATAAAAAACTGGATTCTGCTCTACTGTGGGTGGCAGAGTAACAAGATGTGTGGGAGGAATTTTCCTAGGATTACCCAGATAAGAAGTCAACTCATTGCATTGTCGTCGGCTGTGGACGGCAACAGGTGAGGTGGTTCTCGAGAGCGCAGTCGCTCGCGCATGGATGATAACAAACGTGGTCGTTCTCTTGATAAGCTGTGAAAAGGAGACTTCCAAAGGCAAAGTGAAGGTGGCTGATTCATCACCTGTCTCTAAATCCAATTCCTTTTCTGCTTTGGAGATGGATGAAAGTCAGTGGTCGATCGACTTTGATTCTTCTGCTCGTTCCCTTCCCCCTTAGGGAAGCTAGTTTCTTGTCATCCCATCCGAAAACACCTCCTTCTCCCACAAGAGTGCTAGCCCTCCTGACTTAGCCCTAACTTCCCCCGCAATGCAATTAAAAACAACCTGAGTGATTCTTTTCACTTTTATATATTCCCAGTTTACATTTAGTTTCACTAGGGAGGGATCTTCTTTACGAATGAGCTCACGGAGAGCTCGAACTTTGGTTCCCAAGCCCTCGACAGTTCCAAATGAGGCAATTAATGGAGACCTAGGGACTGGCCAGACCCAATCTCCGCTGATAAGGAAGGTCTGGTAACACGTTTATTGGAATCCCTGAATGTTAGGCAAACCATCATCGTCATCTGATTTTGTTTCTAGCCTGTTTGGACCTTCGTGACAAAGAACAATGGAATTGATGGTAAGAGCCTTCCTTTCCTCTCGTACCTCTGCTCTCTTCCAATGACCTGTCTTCCTCTTTTTCATACCGTGATCCTTGGCTTTTGAAATAAGAGGTTGGATCGATCGGGGTCATGCGTTTTGGATACAGAAATTGGGCTTTTCCCTTATTAGTCAAGTTGCTCGAGGGCAGAAAATTGGAATACAATCTAGAGGATGTAATAGAAGAATCTATGGGTTCGTTAGGAATAGATAGTTGTTGTCTGGACATACGAGTCACAGCCGACCGGGAACCAGGAAGAGGAGAGACCAACGAAGAAGCTACTAGCTACGAGAAGGTGGAGATCCGAGAATCGTTCAAGAACGGTGAGTGAACTTCCGACGCTCTTAACTCGTCTGGTAGTCAAGAAAAAAATTACAAAAAAAATACTAAGACGTAGCCCGCAACACGATCTAGAACTTTGCTGAAGAAATCATATCGATTCGATATACAGATAGAAAGATATGAAAATCAGAAAGGAGACAGTGTTATAGATTGCAGAGGACAGAGAAGAAAAAAAAAAAAAAAAAAGAGGTCGGCCGGCGAGCGACAGAGGGTGGTGTGACAGGTGCCAGACATGCATCAACCATCGGCTGGAGCAATGCAGCTCCAGCGAAGCAACGACACGTGTCGCCTACAAAGCTGAGCCGAACCGCAAACGTGAACCGAGCCAAGCCCAACCAGACCAGCCGACCCGCGATTGGCGCACGTCCACACGTATGGTCAGCACACTGCTGGCGCGTGAGCGCGCGTGAAACGATCGTTTTGGCCCGGTTGCTCTCTGTTTGCCTGATTTTTGTCCTAGTTCCAGTTATAATACTGTTTTTACGTGAATAGGAACCTAATCTAAGGAAATCAATATTTTTGGACACCTCACGGGCAAAAAAACGCTAGCAAAAAGACACGCGTCAACCAGGTAAGTCATCACCCGATATTTAGGAAGAAATACTTGTAGGATTCGCTTGGATTGCATGCATGCTAGTACTTTTTCTTCAGATTAGCTCTCCATGTAAATTATTAGTTAGATTAATTGTTATGATTATAATGGGTGAATTATCTGAGTGTTGTTGGATGCTTTAATTGTTATGATCATGCGTTTAATTTATGTTGGAATGCGTTTAATTGAGCACAAACTTCGTGCTCTGGGTGCTTGATGGAGGTCATCGCCCCGTTGAGTCGGTATGCCTAGTTTCCATGAATTATATACTATGATGTTAGAAGACGGTTGCATGCACACTCTGTTAATTGATAGAGCCTGTTTCTATGATAAGCTTAGGGGATTACTGTTAGGAGCAATATGTCGCACTAGCCAGACTTAACTTTTTCCTAGGAACTTAGCGGTTTACCACGGCAACACAATACCTCAGGAGTGTTCATAGATTGCTAGTGTGAGAACAGTATCTATAGCTTCGTGGGAGGACCAAGAGTCCCTAATCAGTCCTTACTACTCTTAGCCATTCGCATGGGAAATGTGTCCCCATGTCGTACAGCCCATTAGCTGCATGGGAACGGGTTGGGTCGCGCCCCCATAGGGGGACTATATGGGCGTAGGGGTATTTAGCACGCCCCTAGGCTAGATACCATGTAGTCCCAGATAGCCATGTAAAGGTAACACCTCATAGAGAGATACCGATCATATTAGCTTGGCGTAAGGAACCTCTAGGCGTCTAATGAAAGGACAATGAATCGGTAAAATCCATGGGGCAAGCTCAAAGGGACTAAGGTTAGAACCAGATGTTCTCGAACTAAATTAGGAAACCGTGTGAACCTGTTGAATTAGGATGCGAAGAGAGCCTACAAGTAGGTGGCTTACTGAATATAATTTTTATACTCAATCTTGATATGTTTTCCTTTTTCAGGAGCGCGAGTTGTCGGTCAAGGGCAAGTGTGATGGAGACGGGTATTGTCACAGAGAAATGGTTGTCCTAGGGCGTCAGTCTAGTCTTTATTTTGTATTTGCATTCTTTCGAAATTTATTTCCAAACTGTCATGTGTTCTGTTTGTCTGTCGTCCAAAAACTTTATTGGAATTTAAAGATTTTCTCTATTTCATATTTAAATCACTTTGTACATTCGTGTGTTGTCATAAGTCACGGTCCGTAGTAAAATATTGGGTCGTGACACGTAGCCACCTAAGGTTGTGGTGTACGTGCTTGCTTTACTGACTACCCAAAAGATCAATGCCCACCCATAGGATGGATCCATTGTGCATGGTAATCAAATCAAACTTTCTTCTTGTGATTATCTCAATACTCTCTAGGAAGAACTAAGAGAGGAGTTCTTGCATTAAGCTCTCCCAAGTGTCCACAGTACACCGACCATCTTGAAGGTCGATGTACTTGGATCTCCACCAAAACTTTGCATCATCGACTAGATGAATTCTTGCCAGTGTAACCTTCACTTCTTATGCTACGACATTTTTGGCTTGAAAGTTTTATTCGAGGTCAAAGATAAAGTTCCCTAGAGCCTTGGCATCTCGAACCTTATAAAAAGGCTTTGGCAATGAGACCTTTATCTAGTTGAATTAGACTATAACTTAAACTAGGCTTTAATTCTCCACTTCTCTCATGGTGAGGACTTGTCTAGCGCTCAAATCCGCCACTTCATCCCTAACCACTCCAAAAGCTACTCTCAAAATTTTAGTATTTTTGAGACAATCTGAACGATCGCTTGTTGAGTATTGTCTAAGCCCTCGATATGTTCTTCCATCCAAGCAACAGAGCCCATCGAGCTATCCCCATGCTTGAGCCACTAGCAGTTGTGGCATTGACTTTTGGGGCCTTCACCCTAACCTAATTAATACATGGACATTAGTTTCTCAAGGCAACCTACCAGCTCGTTGATCTTGTCAGCTTTAGCGAAAATAAAATTTATGCGAGATTTTAGAAGCCCAATTCATCAGGAATTTCACTTAGGTAGAGTAGCTAATTTTTTATCTCTACCAATTGATTAGTCTGGGACTTGCCCAGTTCTTTTGCAGCAAACCTTTTTGTGTCCTACGATTCAAGGAGCCAACTTGGTTTTGATACTACTTATCACAATCGCACTATTGTGGCAACGGGATAGCGATTATGCGACACTTATTCTAACCCAGTGAACAAGTCATTCGTATGAAAATCATAAGAAATATACAATTCAGACGTTTGATCGAGCCTTGGCCATGTTTGGAAGAAAGTGTTTTAGAAATCATGAGGAAGGAAATGCATTGATCTTTTTTCCTTTATTTTTATTATTATTATTTTTTATTATTTTTTATTTTTTTTTTTTTTTTGTAAAAAAGCAATAGTATAGGCTAAAAGAAAATAAGCAACAACCACAACTTTGATAGCATATAATCTGAATAGGAAGAATTGATGACTAGTCACATACCTTATAGTACATTGTGAGGCATTTTAGCCCTGACGGGTGTAGACATGATTTTATTGACAGGTCATACACCCCTGTACTAACACAACAATAATATAAATGTCTATCTAACTTGAAAGTAAGTAAAGGGGTTTGGAACGGGCATGCAGCTGTGGACAACACGTCATGAACAAACATGATTGTGACATCTGACACGCCACCATAGGCAACACGCCTTGGACAAACATGACCGTGACAGTCTGCAGCTTGACTTAAGCTCACCTCGCCTTGACAAGGTATGTAAGTTGTAAGGTTAGTAGGCATGATCTCACTCATGTGAATTATATGCATATGTCAGTTACTATCTTTTGAAATAATTAGGATACAATTGGTTACAATACCTAATAACTTGGAGTTTATTGCATGATGATAGATTATGGATCCTAAAACATGAAGTGGTACTATACGAGATGGTAGAGCAGGTAGAGCCTTGACTGAGACCGACCCTGCTCAAATTCCTTATAAGGAAAGGCATGCTAAGAACAAGCGTTAGAATAAGTAGATACCATGATGCTACAATCTAGGATCAAGGCCACTCAAATAAACTAGGGTAACATAAACAGTGGAGAAAATGTCAGAATATCTAGGTGGTCAAGGGTGTTAAGATTTATGCCCTAAAGTCTCGTAATTAATTTTAATAATAACTTTGATTATTTTATTTAAAATTTAATATTATCCCATATGTGATTGACAGAGGATCATGTTTAAAAATTTCTTCCTGGCTTTCTTGCTTGCTTTCACTCTTTTTATTCATTCTCCTTCACTCACTTGTCTCTATTTCTTCATTCAAATACAAGGTAAAGCCTTTCTCCTTTACTAGCTTGCTTGAACTCAAACACTCCTGATTAATTTGACTTTACAGTTCAAGGGAGACTAAAGATTCATTCTTTCACTCAGTAAAGCTATTTGACGGTATTGAACAAGGTCAAGCTCCTTCCTTCAACTAAAAGTCAAGACTAAAGATGCTCTCCCCTTCTCCTATTGATCTTACTCTTTTACTCTCTCTTTAGGATAGAACAGGACCATTTATTGGATTTGTGACTCTATTCCATGAGCTACTGAACCAGAACGAACCTCTCTCCCCTACCCTTCCCTTATTTCAGTCGGTAAAGCTCCCAGACCCCATTTCTTTCTTTAACTCAGTCTTGAACTCAGGAAAGCATAGGAAATGACTTGACTCTCCCTTATCAGTAAACGAAAGACTCAACGGAACAAGATGCATTATCCTTAACTACTGCCCCTTACTTAACCCTTCTCCTTCTTTCACTCTTGAACTCGGGAATCGGTGGGATTTCCTTATTTTATTGTATTGGTCTCACAAGCAGCACTAAGTTTAAGTGTCATTTATTAGCTCAGATAAAGAAGAGAAGATGATCGTAACCCTGCATTGGCCTGGCCTTCAAAGACTCTTTTCCTCTCCCTCCTGTAACAAGGATTCATGGGACTGATTTCACTCTTGAATTAGGTAAAGCAGTTGGCTGAAAGGTCAAGCAAGCTCATTCACCTCTCCCTGCTTGAACTGTAAACTACTGAACCTATTTATTCTGGACCAGCTCTTTCTCCTTTCTTTCTTCACTCTCCTAGACTCAAGCAAGAAAGATGAACTCGACTAACTGCTTGTTCAGTTAGTGTTTCTTATTTTGAGGAAGTGATTGTTAACCTTTGCCTGATTTCACTCTTTCCGTCGGTAATCGGTAATAGGTTTTCTTTCCTCCTTTCTTTCTTCACTCTCCTGCCTGGCCCTATAAGAAAGACTCATTCTCCTATTTATTCTTTCTGTAGGTCCTTTGCTCCTTCCCCTTCCTAAACTGTCAAAGAGAAAGCCAAAAGAAAAGATCCATTCTCTTCTCCTTCAGCTCTCCAACTATCAGTCTGCTTCGCTCCTTCTTGATTTTATTGTATTGGTCGAGTTGCTCCGCTCATTTTCCTTCTTTCACTCTTTTACTCGGGAAAGCTATTTGAATGAAGAACCTGAACCGTAACCTGATTTCACTCCTTTTCCTCTGCCTGAACTGTCAAAGAGAAAGAACTACTCTACTTAGAGGCATTCTTCTTTTCTTTCTTTCTGGCTGGGGACGGGACTAGCTTCTCTTCTCATGTGGGTTCATTAGCTAATTAATAGAATTCCTCTCCCCCTATCGGTTATCGATCTCGTTGCTTTCTTCGCTCCTCTTCTTTTCTTTTCTTTATTCTTTTCCTCGGTAACCTCTTAAACTCAATCACCTAGGCTGGGCTCGGCTCCTTCCTTGGGCTCTAAATGTTATCCTTCGTCGGGCAATTGATTAATATGAAGTAGAATCTCATAAAATATTAATATGAGTAATTTTATGAGATTCAAATTGATTAATATGAAGGAATCAGGTTACGACGAAGGAACCTCGTTCAATCAAAGGAAATATTTTCCTTGGGATCAATTGCCCGACGAAGAAATCAATTGCTCGAGGTTCAAATTTTTGCTTAGGATGTACTACAGTTGCATAACACTTGCAACCAAAAACTTTAAGATGGTGAAATGTAGGTGGTCGTTTGTAGAGTGCTTCAAAGGTTGTCTTGTTAAATAACAATGGTGATGATGTTCTATTTATAAGATAAACAGTAGTTAAAATGCATTCTCCCAAAAATTTAAGTGGAACCTGTGACTAAAAAAGAAGAGACCTGGCTACATTTAGAATATGACGATGCTTACGTTCTAGACTTCATTTTGTTGTGGAGTATAGACACAAGTGCGCTGAAATTCAATGCTAAAAGAAGGAAAAAATGGTTGCAAAGATAGAAACTCAGTCTCATTGTCTCATCTAACTATATTTTAATAGTAGTATGAAATTGAGTTGAAATATGTAATAGCCCAATAAATAAATAAATAAATAAACAAATAAAAAAAATATTATAAACAAAAAATATTATTATGTAAAAAAAAAAAAATAATAATAATAAATTAATAAATAAGAAAATAAAAACAATTATTCCCTCGTTCCTCTCCATCAAATGTAGTCACTTTCCCAATAATCTCTCCCCAACACACCTCACAGTTCCTCCATAATGAAACAGAAATGAAAAATGAAAGATTTTGAGAAAATAGAAATGCCTCACATCAAATTTATAGGAGATGGGTTTATAGAGATGATCAAGATTTACATGGGAGAGAGATTTGAGGTTTATCTGTAATTTATATCTCAGATCTCCTTTTCTTTCATCAAATTATTTAGTTTTTTTTAGCAATTTACCTATTAGAAAGATACATCATGATAAAAAACAATAGAATCTATCAAATTGGCCAAAAGTAATTGCTAACCTAATTGAGAAGGTAACCAACAAAAATATAAAAAAAAGGTTTAAACATATTTAACAGAATTTCTTCTCTCCTGCAAAAACAAACACAAAAAGGTTCAAGATATAGTTTTGCTAGTAAAAGATATTTTGCTAGAAAGAGATTGCATTTGAAGAGGTCAATAGTTTTCCTTTTTATTTTATTTAATGATATTAAAAGTGGTAAGAGACAGGGAAGGAAGATTGTGAATATAATCGAAGTTATCTAGAAAATGTTAAAGGGTTTTAAACACCGTAGGAAAAAATAGAATATTTGGAAAATTTTAATGGGTATTAAATGGTTTGAATGAAAATAATACTATAACAAACATATATAAACATTTCAAGACCTAACTTAGGCAAAGACTCTAACGTTCGCATAAAGTATAACACAGATCAACATAAATTAAAGAAACAATTTTGTAGAAATTCAAACTTGAAACTGATGTCATGAGCTCACATAGGTTGACTTGGATTTCAATGGACTTTCATTAAGGATAACGACGGAACATCAACCTAAGCTAACCAGGTAAGTGACCTTACTATCGGCATGATTATATTTGTTGTTGACACGTGCCCCGTGGTTCTGCACGTGTCATATATATTGATATGTGTGAATTGTTTATGGATCAATATGCTTCTTATTTGTTAGGTATATGATATAATATGTGAATAGTTTGATAATAATTACGGTACGATGTGTTCAATGATATGTTTGAGATAGGATACGAGAAGGATGCCCAAAACGAAATGTAACGATAGGAGTAAAATACGTTCATGAAACGTTAAGGTTAGGTTACATATCGTAGTGATATGGATAAGAGAGATTGATGGAAGACTACAGTTAGGCTACGGGTAGAAAGGGATAGATTTGTGATAGATTGATAGAACGATAGCGTTAGGTTATGTTCTTATGATGATATGATTGAGGTACGTTCACGTAATGATATGTCTGTGATAGGTATAATAATGTTACGGCTATGATAAGTTCGAAAACGATACGTCTTGTTTATGATATGACACATTGTGATGCAATATATCATGATATGATGTATATATGATGAAATGTTATGTTAAAAGCATAGAACGTTATGTTAGGCCTCTTAAATTGTGAGTATACAGCATGATATGAATGACATGAAATTACGATAAATGGCATGAAATATAACCCTGTTAGAATTATGTATGATTTGAGAACTGAAGAATGAGAAACAATATGATATGAATGATGAACGATATCTGAAACGATATGAAAAATGATATGATATGTACATAATGCTAACGGGGTTGTATTAAAGGATAATGAAAATGGAAAAGTTTTGAGATCTCATGCATTATGTGTGCTCATGCATTTGAGGGGATACCCCTATCCCATCATGAGGGTACGGACGCGTACATCCAATGGAAGGACAATGATCGTTATGCTTTGCATAGCGCTACTGTGACAGTTACTAGTTCTAACGGGTTTTGGCATAAGGGGCTCCCAGGGTAAGCCCACCGGACAAGGAAAGTGGCCCAGTGGTGTGTGAACTAGCTGGTGAGCCCATACTCGCACGTATGGGCTATGTGTAGAGTATATGGTACACGTCCAAAATTACCCGTTAGGACAACACCCTAGAAACGAAACGAAACGAAACGAAAGATAGGTCCCATCATTACATTGCATGTGATTTTTGCATTTAACACCAATAGTGGGGTCACTTACTGAGTATTTCTTTAAATACTCAGCCATGTGCTACTACATTTTTTCAGGTTAAGGCAACGCATTCCTGTACGGCTGACGACGACATCGTAACTCGAGACCATGACACATGAATAAGGTAGTGATATTTATTTTCTTAGACTTAGGCTAGACTAGGATGTTTTTAACTTAAACTTTTATTCATTTTATTTAGTCCTTTGTTGTGTCTTTTTAAAGATGTTTTCAAAACACGTAAGTTCATGGTTGTGTTTTAAGATAAAGATTATGTTTTATGGAATTTAAATGAAGTCTTCCGCATTCAATGTTTATGGTACGTATACAGTAGCGATCTTAAATTAAGTAGAAAATTTCGGGTTGTTATATCTTATTTGTGTTGCATAAGAAAAACCCAAGTACATCGAGTAAAATCATCAACAACAATGAGAAAAAAACACAAACTAGAATGGGTTGGAATTTTATGTGGTCCCCAAATATTACAATGTAACAGATCAAAGACAAAATGAGTCGTTATTGAACTTTTTGGAAAAGACAACCTAGTTTATTTTTCTAATGAGCAAATACTACAATTATGAGAAAGAGTAGCATTATTAAGATGCAATTGATGAGCTAGAAATTTAAAACGAGGAGAAGGATGACCATAAGTGTAAATTCCACAAATCAAATGACTGAGATACTTGATTTGCTGAAGATTTGATTGAAGATGAAGAAATATGATAGAGACCTCCGAATTGTTTACCCGAGCCAATCATCTTCCCCATAGCCAAGTCCTGCATAATACAAGAATCAGGATAAAAGGTCACATAAGATTTTAAGTCATTGGTAAGTTTGCTGATGGACATTAGGTTTAAATTGAATGAAGGCACACATAAAACATTGTTTAATTTAAGGTCAGGATTAAAAGAAACATTTCTAGTATGTGACACATGTGCTATCTCTCCATTAGACAAATTTATTGTAGGTATGGTGGTAGCCTTTGGTTCAGTCATAACAGAAATTTTGGATACTATATGATCTGTAGCTCCACTATCGAGAATCCATGGATTAGAACTCGTAAAGTTAATAGATAATGCAGGTACTGGAAACAAACCTGCAACATTGATGTTATTATCAGAATTACCAAAAGAACGATGATTGAGTGCAAATAATGCTTGTACAATCTGTTGTAATTGCTCAGAAGAAAAATTTGGGATGAAATTAGGTGACTATTCTTTTGTATTCAACTGAGAAACATCGGCCATATTTGCAGATGATCGATATCCACGATTGTTGCGTTGATTGATTTGTACTGCCCTTCTAGAATTATTTTTATGTTGACATCGATCTTCTGGATGTCCCCTTCTATCACAAAATTTACAGAGAAACTTAAGGAATCGACACTCATCAATTGTATGACCACTTTTATTACAGTGTTCACATGATTTATCCTTGACGAATTTTGAATATGTTGTTTTCTTCTGGACTGTTGATGCAATCGAGAAATTCTTAGTAGGTTCAGAAGTTACCTGAAGTTGCATCTCTTCTTGTACAAGCAATGAATAGGCTTGCCTCACTTTAGATAATGGAGTCATCATCAAAATGTTAGTTCCACCTTTTTATAAGACTCATTGAGTCCCATGAGTAGTTGCATCAACTTGTCTTCTTCTCGTTGATCAACATGTATTTGACGTTGATTACAGGTAAATGGTATGTTGTATGCTTCCAATTCATCCCAGAGTGCTTTGAGCTTGGTGAAATATAATGACAGTGTCATGGTTCCCTGTGACATCATTACTATAGACCTTTGTATCTGAAAAATTGTTGGAACATTCTTTTGTGAGAATTGATCATGAAGATCAACCCACACTTCATGAGCTATCTTGGCGTGAATAATACCCTCAGCGATATCTGCTTCAACTGAATGAGTTAACCAAGATATTATCATACTGTTGCACTGACTCCATAGTTCAAATTTGATTGAATTTGCATCTTGAGACGGTTCTTCAATTGTACCATCAATGAAGCCAATTTTCTTTTTGGCAATAAGAGCATGCATAACTGATTTACTCCAGGATTGATAATTTGTTCCATTTAATTTGATTGGAACAAATGAATATCCTGGCTAATCAGAGTGATGAATATAATAAGGATGCGTTAAATAAACATCGGAAATTTTGAAGCTGGATTTGGCTGATTTTGCTATAGAGAAAATTTTGATATTTAAGAATACCAAGATCGGTGCTCTGATACCATGTTAAGAATGAGAAATAGAAATAGAATTGGGAAGGTATGAATTATCATTGATATTGATATCCTTTAAATAGGATACAAGCTAGTAACTATAAGTACAAATGAGGAAAATATAAAATAATTAAATATTGATAATAAAATAAAATATACTCTAAATCAAATCATAAATAAAGAATATTAAGATATAATATCTAAGATATATTCTATAAATAATATATACTCTAATATCTAAGTGTCGCAAAATCGCTATCCCGCTCCACAAGAATGTGATTGTGATAAGTGGTATTAGAGTCAAGTTGGCTCCTTGAATCGTAGTACACAAACATGTCCACTACAAAACAATTGGGCAAGTCCTGGGCTAATCAATTGATAGAGATCAAAAATTAGTTACTCTACCTAAGTTGTTCCTACAAGCACGATACTTAGTAGGTATATTTATAAATTCACCCCGTTTTCTCTTCTTTTACAGATGTTCGCAGGTTGCAGGTCAAGGTGGAGGAGTCTTCCAGAGCTATGCAATCAAAGTGGGGGTTGTTATAGAACTTTTGTCTTTCTTTCTATTTTTGAGTCTTTGTATTTGATTTTTTTTAGTTGTATCCCAATCCATTTTTCCCTTTATAATAAATTTAATATCTTGTAATTGTATTTTAAATGTGGTAGTGTTTAACTTAATTTTATTTTAATTCTGCTTATGCATTTTCTTATTTTATTTTGTTTTACTTATATTTTTATTTGTTTTTGGTTTCGTCTTACTTTCGATCCAAGCTTCGAAGTCTCAGAATTCTTGTCATGACACCTTGGATTTTCGATACAAGGAATAATACAAAATTATGAATAAAAGAATTATTAAATAATTAATTATAAGATTTTAGGGCATAAATTCCAACCATGGGAGACTTTAAGTGAGGGGACAACAAATACAGTCACTGGTCCTCGTCTTGCTTCAAATACAATGTGGTCTATCGAGTATCTGAATACCCACACACGGTGGATCTTCATGCCTTCCAAGCCAAAGCGTCGAAAACCCTGCATTGGGGGCCTTAAAGTACATATTTGCTTTCCACATAAGAGTGGGAGAGACAAAAGAGTCAATAGAATGAGATCTTATGTACATTGAGGACTAGTCTAACCATAGATCAGCCAAGCGCACAATGGTCGACTCTAGAGCTACGCACAACTTTATGATAGAGACCAAAGAAAAGCACTTAAACATTCTCTATTATAAACACAGAAATGGTGAAAGTTGTTAATTCGGTACCCTTATTTACCTAAGAGTTGCAAAGAGAACTCCAATTAGTGAGAGACTATAAAAAGAAGTATATTAATGATAAAAAAAAAAAAATTGATAGATATAAAAACAGCATATCAATAATAGAATGGGTAATCATATTCTGCCTAAATAGTATACAGAGGTAATAAAGAAGAGAATACTAAATATTCGAGCTATAGAATTTCTCAATTTTGACACAAGTTACTTATTATATCTAATAGAATTATTTTGCTGTATCTAGACTAGTATCAATCGAACCCGTTTCCTGAATAAAATATGACCAATGAACCAGCCAACAAAACTACTTGTTACAAATAACATCCCTAGAAATGTTGATTAATCTGACTAACATTGAATTTGGTAAAATAAAATGGTTGAATAATTGAAAAATGAGATTATTGAAGAATACACATCGTATGCTAAGATTGCGGGTCTATCAGTGATAGACTTTAAGACTTCGAAAAGTGTAACATTTATAAATTATTTCTTTTATGATGCATTTGTAAATTTATTGGATAGTTACAAATATGACAACAATTTTGCTTCTCTTTATTTGTGTGACATCTTTGCAAATCAAAAGTCACCGATTTCTATTGCATCACTAACTACAAATAAAAAAGACTATGAAAAATATGTGATAGTGTTTTCTTGATACTATCTTATAGCATATTTTATTATTTTTATTATAATAGAGAATCGATATAGAACAGGTATCTAAAAATATAAACACCTAAAAGTATAAGGACATTGTTATTATTATGTAGGACTTTGAGAAGGCAAATAAACCCCAAATTGCATAGTTTTTTAGTTGACCCAAACAATTAAAATTAAACATCATCTTTAGAAAATAATCAGTTGAAAAAATTAGGGTTTTATTTTAGGTTAAAATCACCACATCCCTTTCTAAGTTAAAAACAAAAATAAAATCATATTAACAAAGAAACTTTCTTTAAATTCTAATGGTAAAAATGAGTGATCGAACCGACAATCATTAAAATGACATTAAGTGTCTTATCTTATAAGATAGACTTAAATTTAAAAAAATTGGCAGGAGGTAGAGATTTACCTATGTTACATACCTAATTAAAAATGGTTAAATCGTCTAAAAACAATAATGGTTATATAGAACAATAATATAATAGCACTTGAGATAGGTAAGTTAAAATTAGAGTCAGAAGGGTAAACATTAACCTATACATATCACTCCACACCTTTTCCATTCTCCTTTCACTTACTTCCTTTTTTTCTCTCCCATGCTTATCATGAACACTTGTATGATTAAGTTTTCTTGGGCTCTCTTCTAACCTTACATGTTTTTCTTTCCCTTCTATTTATGTTTTCTAACCATGCCTGGCAGCTGGATTGACATTCAATATTATTAGTCTCAGTGCCAAGCCCGAGGGAAAGATCGATGCCTCATCTGTGCTTCAAATGACATGGGCTAAGGCATGTGACTCGTCTGAAGTGTCATCTATTTACGTTCCCAAGGGTATATTTCACGTTCGAAGTGTGAGCTTTAATGGGCCTTGTAAGAATAATGTTATTACTGTTCTCATTGATGGAACTCTTGTGGCTTCCTTGGACATTCAAATTTGAGCTAAAACTAAATCTTGGATTGAGTTTAATCACATATATGGGCTTTCCATTACGGGTGGTATTATTGATGGCAAGGAACTGCCTTATGGAATTGTAAACTGTCTCGACCCCATTTTTTAGGCTTCCAAAAACGGAATCATGACTAAAAAGACAAATTCGAAAACAAATAAAATTTAAAAGAAGATAAAATAGGGGATGAAAATATGATAAAATTTAAATCAAGAAAGAATGAGTCAACCAAAATTAAAGTCAAATATTACAACGGCAAATACAATTATGAAAGAAAAATACAAAAGACTCTAAAAGACCGACAAGGGACTGACGCTCCGAAACGACACCCCTCTGTGATAGTGCAGCTCTCGAGCACCTCCCAACCTCGACTGGTACCTGAAAAATAAAAAGAGAAACGGGGTGAGTATAAAAATATAATTCATAAACAACCTACTTGTAGGCTCTTAATTGCATCCAAGTTAAGGAGAGAACCACCCACTATATTCTAGATCCTAGAGTCTTAGTACTCTCAGTACAAGTTCAGGGCGGAAGGACTTAACTTTTAAAGCGGTATTCAACGTTTGAAGATGAGGTGCTCCCTCATATCTACATGTACCACTCGTACAACCCAGCTAGAATTAGTCACTGCATGGTCAACATCCTTCCACAGGACGGATCCATCATACAGGCGACCTTGACCCACTCACGTGATCAACATCTTACCATGAGATGGATCCCCATGCAGAGTAGTCAATCTACCACTGAGTAACACTTCTCTAACAGGCGTCTCGCCAAGCTCAACAATACCACACCAGAGTAGGAAGGGAAGAGTAACACCTCCCTAGTTAGCGTCTCACCTAGCTCAACGATACCACAACGGAGTAGGAAGGGAAGAGTAACATCTTCCTAACTGGCGTCTCGCCTAGTTCAACGGTACCACACTGAAGTAGGAAGGGAAGCGGAGCATACTCGAACGCCATACCAGATACTATCAACTAAGAGGTCATCTCTCTACACTTCGGGGGCGTAATGTGGTTCTCTATATTTCAAGGGTAGTTAAAACTATTGAGTTAGGGGCCCTAGCTTCCAGATTCACTCAATCAAGACTTCAAAGTCCATAACAGTCCACGGTTAAAGGGTCTTTCCCTCTAAGCGTCGCTCCTGACACCATAGACTGTAACATTAGGAGGGTCTCCTAACTAAACCCAACTCAATCCCTGCAAGAGTTCACCCTAGGAATATCACAACACTACAACTTATCAATCATATCTTAAGTTCACACAATCATTCAACATAAGTTTATGTATGATTAACAACACATACAACCATACCAGCTCAACGGGACGATATCATCCATCAACACCCAGAGCGCAGATGCACAAATTTTTTTTCGTAAGTTTCTTGATGCATCCCAAACATTTATTTCCTCTGGATTGATATGAAAATCACACTCTAAGTTCTCCAATAAAATCTAGAAACTCACAATGGATAAGAAGGTGCTAGTCAAAAGATAGAGCGAATTGTGCCTATTGGACTCGGGGAGTTACATAAACGCTCAGGGAAGAGTTGCCCACTGGAGCCACGGTATGCAAAATTTGAGTGGGCTAGATAAAAAATAAAATTTGAAAATTTTTCTGGATCAAAATAGTTATTTAATATATTAAGTTCGAGTGAGAAAATTTTAAAAGATAGATTATGATGAACATGTTCAGAAATATATTTTTTAGAGGGGTTAAATAAAGTTTTAAAAGATAAAACTAAAAAAAATATATTCTAAATTTATTTTCAACTTGAGAAGAATGATTTAAATTATTTTAAAATTATATTGGATCAAAATAGTTATTTAATATATCGAGTGAGAAAATTAAACCTCATGAAAAAATTGGTATTTTATTAAATGTATTTGTAGCATTGGGAGCTTGGGGATAGAGGTTGAGGAGGATGGAGTG